GCCCCTTAGATATTGGAAGACAGCTATCATGTCACAATGCAGAATAACAAGAGTTGGAAGTGACCTTTTAGGTCTTCTTCTAGTCCAACCCCCTGTTCAAGCAGGAGACCTTATACCATTTCAGACAAATGGTTGTCCAACATCTTCTTAAAAACTTCCGGTGTTGGAGCATTCACAACTTCTGGAGGCAAGTTGTTCCACTGATTAACTGTTCTCACTGTCAGGAGATTTCTCCTTAGTTCTAGGTTGCTTCTCTCCTTGATGAGTTTCCACCCATTGCTTCTTGTCCTGCCCTCAGGGGCTTTGGAGAATAGCTTGACTCCCTCTTCTTTGTGGTAGCCCCTCCAATATTGGGACACTGAAGTGCCTAGCAGACTTTAGACTTCGAGATGCACCAAACTGGGGCTACTTGTTTTTTTCCAGACCTGGAAAAAAAATGATGTGATTTGATAAGGAGTTCCTTCTAAATTTTACATTTCCTTGAAATTGGCTGAATTAAAGGCCATGAACGAACATAAAGAAAGCCCGAGATATTTGGGAACATCAATTCCATTGGGAAAATTTAATGAATGGAAATGGTCGAGTTAATTCAAAAACCAAATCCAATAAATAAGTGGAGATCATTGGATGTAACATTTCTTGTGCCGATATTTGACTGATCACTTGACTACCAGATGTTATGGCATGTCATAGGTACTTTGGCTAAGGAGGTCTAGTTTGGCATTTGCCAATGTGTGATTGATCGTAGATGTTGTGTGGAACATTGGACGTAAAGGAGATGATGGATGGATGGATGGGTGGGTGGATGGAGAGAGGGATGGATGGGTGGGTAGGTGGATGAATGGGTGGATGGAGAGAGAGATGGATGGATGGGTAGATGGATGGATGAGTGGGTGGATGGAGAGACAGATGAAGAAAGGGATAGAGGGATGGATGGATGGATGGATGGATGGATGGATGGATGGATGGATGGTTGGATGGATGAGTGGGTGGATGGAGAAATGGAGAAAGGAATGGATGGATGGATGAGTGGGTGGGTGGATGTAGAGACAGATGAAGAAAGGGATGGATGGATGGATGGATGGATGGATGGATGGATGGATGGATGGATGGATGAGTGGGTGGGTGGATGGAGAGATGGAGAAAGGAATGGATGGATGGGTGGGTGGATGGATGGATGGATGGGTGGATGAGTGGGTGGATGTAGAGACAGATGAAGAAAGGGATGGATGGATGGATGGATGGATGGATGGATGGATGAGTGGGTGGGTGGATGGATGGGTGGATGGGTGGGTGGATGGAGAGACAGATGAAGAAAGGGATGGATGGATGGATGGATGGATAGATGAGTGGGTGGATGGATGGAGAGATGGAGAAAGGAATGGATGGATGGGTGGGTGGGTGGGTGGGTGGGTGGGTGGGTGGATGGATGGATGGATGGATGAGTGGGTGGGTGTATGGAGAGAGGGATGGAGAGAGGGATGGATGGGTGGGTGGGTGGAGGAAGGGAGGAAGAAACAGATGGATGGAGGGATAGAGAGACAGATGAATGCATGGTTGGTTGGTTGGATGGATGGTCAGACAGACAGACAGACAATTTCAGTTGCTTTCTGCATTTAATACTATGTGAACCCTAGGAACGTTAGCTGAAAATTGTATGTCCGAACGAAAGACTCTGAATGAAATCCAGGCTAGAAAAGGGCTACGGCATGCATTCTCACATGGTGCCTGCCAACAGCCATGGTTCGCCTGTCCAAAATATTCCCATATTTTGAAAGATGGCTCGAAAAGAATGCAATCAAAGAATCCCAAGAGTTATAGCGCAACTTGGCCTCGTTGGGAAGACTTCCCGCAAAAGACTGTGGGGCATAAACGATCTCTGGCAATTCTGACCCAGGATAAAGCCCTGCTCATCCCTTCAGTGCCGTGCAGGATGGAGGAACAAGTTTCTGAAGAAAGCTGGGCCCTCCACCCCATCCCTAAACTGCACAACAGAGCTCAACAAAGCCAAGCAGTTCTCCTTCTGATTGCAAGCTTCTTTCGTAGGAAAAGTGCTGAGCTTCACAAAAAAAAAAAAAAAAACACGGAGAGAGAGAGAGAGAGTGGGAGAGAGAGAGAGAGAGATGGAGGGAGAAAAGCAAAATAAAATAACATAATATGGAAACCTCGATATTTTAAAACGAACAGAGCTTTCCTGAAGCTCGCTCATGGGTTTGTTTTGGGCTCCGCTCAAGTTTTTTAGCAGAGACTGGGGGTCAGCTTTTAAAAAAGCCAGTTCTCACTCATCCATTCAGCGACAGGTGACGGGTGCCAAACTCCATTCCTCCCAGTTCAGTTTCCCTCGGCCTGTCTTGGGGGGGGGGTTGGAGGAAACGGAGAAGAGAGGCACACTGCAAGGGGTTGCAGGGGGAAAAAAATCAGGGGCGCGCCATCGTTTCTTGGTGAGCCCCCGCGACTGTATAAATTGCAGATGTGGGCGAGGAATCGATCCCCTAACTGGGAGAGGTATTAAAATCAAAACCAGTCTTCCCTCCCTCCCTCCTTCCCCCCCCCATCCCATTCCACCGAGACAGACTGTTGAAAATGATACATGTCAAAATTGCTGGAATGAATTTCAAACGCCAAAGATACTTTATGTAAAAAAAAAAATCTTGCATTGCTGTAAAATGTAACACTATCCATTGGCAAGTCTCTGCAAAAAAAATTTGGTCCCGGTGTGCGTTTTCTTTCTTTCTCTCCCCCCCTTTCCCCCCCCCCCCCTTCTATTTTTTTTTTTTTAATTTTTATTTAACAAAACTGAAAAACTTTTTCCAACCCATTAAACCTGATTTATGTTTTGCCCACGGATTCCTTCCCTCTTTTTTTTTTTTTGGAGGGGATTTAAATTAGAGAAATCATGACTTCACTTTTGGCCAGCCTAGCTGCTCCGTTCTCCGAATACTTGATTTTTATTTGTTTTTTTTTAATCTGTGTGGATGTAAGGAAATCGTTCTTACTTGAAATTCTGTGGAATTCCTTTTCCATGTTTGCCACCATGGAAGTCCACAATGTTCCCTTCAAAAACTTTCTCTCCTTCGTATCCGGTTGCAGGATGGTCCCATAATTAGGGCTAATGAACGATAGCAATAGCCCTTAGACTTATATACCGCTTCACAGTGCTTTTTCAGCCCTCTCTAAGCGGTTTACAGAGTCAGCCTCTTGCCCCCAACAACCTGGGTCCTCATTTTACCAACCTCGGAAGGACGTTACGCTGAGTCAACCTTGAGCCGGTGGGAATCAAACTGCTGGCAGTCAGCAGAGTTAGCCTCTCTAAGCAGTTTGCAGAGTTCATCCTCTTGCCCCCAACAATCTGGGTCCTCGTTTTACCCACCTCGGAAGTCCGGAAGGCTGAGTCAATCTTGAGCCAGTCAGGATCGAACTGCTGGCAGTGGGCAGAATTAGCCTGCAATATTGCATTCTAACCATTGTGTTACCATGGCAAGGAAGGAAGGAAGGAAGGAAGGAAGGAAGGGAGGGAGGGAGGGAGGGAGGGAGGGCGGGAGGGCGGGCGGGAGGGAGGGAGGGCGGGAGGGAGGGAGGGAGAGAAAGAAGAAAAGGAGGGAGAGAAAGAAGAAAGGGAGGGAAGGAAGGAAGGAAGGAAGGAAGCAATAGCAATAACACTTAGACTTATATACCACTTCATAGTGCTTTTACAGCCCTCTCTAAGCAGTTTACAGAGTCATCCTCTTGCCCCCAACAATCTGGGTCCTCATTTTACCCACCTTAGAAGGACGGAAGGCTGAATCAACCTTGAGCCTGGTGAGATTCGAACTCCCAAATTGCAGGCAGTCGGCAGTCAGCAGAAGTAGCCTGCAATACCGTATTCTAACCACTGCGCCACCGCAGCTCATATCTGTATAAACTCTTTGGTTTGTATAACAATCGATTAAAATAGGGTTGGTGGTTTGTGGATCAGGGCATGTGAGAACCCAGCTGACATCTCTTCTTGTTGGCTAAAACAAACTGTCACACCGGACCTACCCCATGGCTTATTTGTTGGGGCGTTCTGTGTGATGTGAGCTCTATCGTGGCATTTTGCTAACCTTTAGTTTGGAGATTAGTGTATGGAATGGGTATCTGTACATGAAATGGGACAACTCACTGTGACCAATTCTCCACGGGACAATTGAACAAATACAAAAGCTAATTTAATTTCAATGGGACCGTGGCCTAACGATGTCAACCCAGAAATACAAGATTTACAATAATTTCGATGAACATGTGGCCACCAATAATAAAAGTAGCAATAGCGATACCAATAGCACTTAAACTTATATACCACTTCCTAGTGTTTTAGAGCCCTCTCTAAGTAGTTTACACAATCAGCCTCTTGCCCCCCAACAATCTGGGTCCTCATTTTACCTACCTCAGAAGGATGGAAGGCTGAGTCAATCTTGAGCCGGTTGGGATTGAACTCCTGGTAGTGAGCAGAGTTTAACCTGCAGTACTGCATTCTAACCACTGCACCACCAAGTAAGTAAGTAAGTAAGTAAGTAAGTAAGTAAGTAAGTAAGTCAACCTTGAGCCAGTCAGGATCGAACTCCTGGCAGTGAGCAGAGTTTAGCCTGCAATACTGCATTCTAACCACCGTGCCACCAAGGAAGGAAGGAAGGAAGGAAGGAAGGAAGGAAGGAAGGAAGGAAGGAAGGAAGGAAGGAAGGAAGGAAGTCAACCTTGAGCCAGTCAGGATCGAACTCCTGGCAGTGAGCAGAGTTTAGCCTGCAATACTGCATTCTAACCACCGCACCACCATGGCTCTTCAATTGTACCTGAATGAAATGATTAATACAGCACTGAATTGTCCTGAGGTGAGTTGTCCTGCAGCAAGTTGTCCACAATGAGTTGTCCTAGACTCCGCACAAACCTATAGGCCAACAGATAAGTTGCATCCACTGATTGCATGGACTTTATGTAGACTTCCCTCTCTCTCCAACTGGACGTCATGTTCTTCTTTTTATCAG